TTTCTCTCTCTCTCCCTCTCTCGCGCTCTAATCTATGTTTCTCATTCTTTTTATATATTATATATAACAATATTTATATGATGAATTTTTAATGGTTCGAGTCACATGCAGAAAGAACTTTGAGTCATTTCTGGCACGGATAAAAAGGAAGAAACAAAAACACTTTAGCTTTTGCGAAAACTCTAAACATAGGATGTTCTCATAATTTAGCGTTTACACTTGAGAAAAAAAGAAGAAGAAGAAAACAGAAAGGAAAGAAGAAAAGAAAAACAACAACACCACACTAGTAAATGGCACTAGAATTGCTCTCACTTGTGTCATTGAATCTAATTCGCGATTAAAAAGCTTGTTTTTTTATTTTATGTTTTTTCGTTCGCTCGCCTCGCCGTTTCGCCTCTTCAGTTTCTTCTTCTCTGTTGAGATCTCTTGGACTCGAGACGAACACAGACGGACGCGCCATTAAAAATCCACGCGGCACAGCCGCGCCGTGCGCCACGCTCACGCACGTGAGACACGTGATTCGCTATCGTTCGTTCATTCATATATATATATATATATATATATAAATATAAATACATAAGTATATATATATATATATATATAAAAGTCAGACAACGATGCCCGGGACCGTCAGGTATTGACGCATCCTTGGCCCGGGAGTGGAGCGCATTCGCCCGCGATATCGACTAAGAACTAATCTACAAAAGAAAGGTAACAAATCCCAAAACGGGAACCGATGTACGAGAGAACCGAATCGACTCGCGTGAGTTGGTATCGACAGTGAAGAGATTTCGCTTTTTTCTCATATTCCCCTTTCCTCCGCCGAGAAAAAAGAACGCGTAACGCTCGTGACGTTTTTAGGTCCTTGTTCGCTCTTATCTCGCTCCGCTTTTATGTCCTTCACAATTACGTGTATATTACGCGTCTTAACTACTTGTGCTGGTACAACACTCTCGGCGCAACGAAGCTTAACGCGGAGCGCCGCACGTTGTCGATATATGCGTTGCGTATGCATGCGTATACGATGGCACCATGAGTTTTTGTCTCGCGCTGCCTCTTCGTCGTTCCTCACGTCGTTCCACGGATCACGCTCGCGAGTCAACGGAGTAGAGTAGTCTCGCACTGATACATTGGTCAGGGTGCGAGAGAAACTGGTCGAGTCCGCTCGGATTTGTAGCGCGCTTCGCCGTCTAAACCAGATTGTACTCCTTCAGATTGGACTGTAGAATGGTGTCTTTCACCGCCGCGAACACGAATCTGATGTTCTCCGTATCTGTGGAATAGAAAAAAGATATGTATTCAAATACCAGAATATACCTTTAAGATTTGCTCAAGAGAAACGCTTAACTGGTTGCATAAAGCACCGTTCGATATCATGCCATGAATGATTTTCTTTCTTCTCAAATGAAATTTTCAACTTGTCGTTGTGATTTGTAATAACATTTAAACCTTGCAAGAGACTTCTGATACACATACGCCACTAAATATATTCATAGAAAATTGATATTGAAACTTAAGACTAATGACGGTGAGCATTATACTTGTTTGTAAGTATATCATACTATACTATGCTAGTTAGTGCTATATAATATAAATTATTTATTAATTTTTAATAACTTCAGGATACTGTTAAAGATCTGTCAATATCTGTCTTGGAAGAATTAACAAAAAAGCGCAAAACAAAGATCGGCACTTACCCCCTATACAAGAAGCTTCAAACCCTGGGACAGTCATGACACACATGCAGCATGCAATTCCCTTTAAGATACTTTTTGTAGCATTACGAAAGAGAAACCATAAACACAATATAATTCCCTTTTTCGATACTTGTTTTAAATAAGCTTAAGTAGTCAAAGATTAATAATGCAAAAAAATTGTAGTAATTATGTTAGTATCCATTTAAATATTTAAAATATTAAAGTATAATGCATATTAAAGCGCAAAATATTTTAAGTATTGTACTTAAACAAATATATAAATAGGTATTAAAGATTTGTTTCATTAATTTCATTATTTCATTAAGTTTAAAGTATTAGAATACATATTATACATAAATAATAATTTTACAATCGTTATAAAAATATTGTATTATCTTCATATAAGCAGTGTTTGTAAAACGATTGGAACCTTAACCACAAGTGGAATATTCTATTTTTGCCAGACTCTATGATAATACCTATAATAGACATAAAAATACCGCAAGGAGCCTTTGTTTATTACAAAGGCATATTAGTAACGCAATGTTGCAAGAAATGGATTAATTTAGCAATTATTAATAGCAATTATTAGAGTAAACATCAATTGTTATATCCCTTTTATTTAGAGTTTACAAGGGTTTGATAATTTATTTTCACTAAATGTATATTGTAATATATTGTTGTCTACAATAAAGCTGGCAGTTATTTTCGAAATTTTCGAGAGTAAAGTTGTTGTATTCGCAGTCGATGATCGATCGCCAAGAATGACACAGACCTAATGCTACGGAATATATTTTAAAGAGCAACATATGATAACATTTGACAAATAATCAACAATTCATTTTTGCAATAATATCTGTCAAGCAATCGCTATACTATTTGGTTACTCCTAGTACTCGTTGATTGAATTATTCTTAGGCAGCTTTGTCATACAAATCTGTCGTACATCTACTATACGTCATTCTCGGCGTCAAAATATTCAATAACATCGTCAAGAATCTGCGTATACTCGATAATATCTGTACAGTCGCGTTAAGCAAGATTAAACTCCTTAAGCGCGGTTTGCATGATCGTATCCTTAACAGCGCAGAATACAAGCTTGATGTTTTCCGTATCTGATGGTTAATTCCACGAACGCAGCATGCAAAATATAAATCGAGCATCATTGAGATTGGCCTGCACCATTTTACGCCTTTGAAAAATCAACCTGGTACCGAATTTATCGCGTGATATTTGTATATTTTCTTATAATATCGTATATCGTATAATTTATAATTCAGTAAACCCTGAGAAATATACACACCATATTTATAAAACTATACATACTACGTAATTTATATTAAATATAAATTGCACTAAATAAATTTGAAAAATTAGAATTGTGCTAAAGACAATCAATATATTATTTGTAATTTATTTCACTTCTTTGCATTCATTTCTTTTTTTAATAAGTATATATATAAAACTATGCTTTAGATCTTATCTACTATAAAAAATATGTATCTACTTAAATTAGTTTATCTTGTCTTTTTATTTTTATGCGAATCTTTTACACGAGACATAAATATATCTCTTCTTTCGTCCTCTTCATCGAAAAAAGGATGTCTTTCATACATGTATATAGGTTGATTTTTCCACGGTGCATTTATAACATTTGATTACACACCTGATTATACGGGAGACAGGCAACATACAAGCTCTGGTACAAGACACAACACATCGAAGAACTGTTATAAAGCGAGAGAAATACGGTATTTTTGTACACAGGAGTTTATCAAGAGACTAGCCTACCTGTGGCACACGTAAAGTGGGAATAAATAATCTTCTCGCTGTCTGGATTCAATTCAACAAACATCTTCAGGATGAATTCTCTAGCTTGTATAGCCTCTCTTGGCCGACCTGCGGAATATACAAGCAAGGAAGGGGCATGGCATTACTTCCGTTCATCTACGAAGCGAGTACATAATGCATAGTCAATATTTTTTAGCGGTCGCTCAATAACGAGACGATTAATTGATACGTATTATTGAGGTTTTTTACTAGGTGTAAATACAACAAAAGATAAGTTGGAATTTGGCCAAGAGAGAAAACTCTTTCGTGTTACAGGATTTCTAAGTGTTTTACAAGACCGGAATAAATCTGCATCTGAAAAATGTCGCCGCGCGACATCAGTTTTGCTCATGTGCACAGCATAATGCGAAATGCAGACGGATATCGATCTATTTTAATGGAATAATGTTGTACTCCACTCAAATCCAATATACGCTCTCTCCAAGGACAGCTTATTAAATTAGTCGTAGTGAACATCAAAGAAGCCTTTCGAAAGCCTCATTAATAAGCTAGAAAGCTTATGTAAGAACACCGAGTATAATTTTGCAAATTCGAACCAGTTACTTACACGTTGTAGTTCGTAATAAAGTCTGAAAATCTGTCGTCGCGAACTAAGAATTTCAATTTAATATAACTTTCGCTGGATACTTAGAATTTCAATTGTTGATGTAACTTTTGTTGGACGTTCAATAATTACATAATATTTTACAAAGTTGTAAATTACAATACAGGATGCGACGAAGGTTCTGATTATTACTATCAGATTAACTAGCTTGAATCTACATACAAGTTAATTTTAATTTATCAAGATTACGTGCTACTGATTATGCGCAGAAATATATATAGGTTTGGCATTAAAATAGCCTTGCAAATAGATTATTACTAATAATAAATAACCACGTGAATTGAGAAATATCGGAGTGGCAAAGTTACAATAAAGAGCACGAGAGCCGCACGAAATAGCATTACTAAACTGTTCGACAAATAACTAGAGAATCTACATTTTCTGCTCGGGACACTCAAGTATTCGAACAGACCTGTCGCACACGTAAAGTGAGAGTAGCACATTCGATCAGGATCGGGATTACAATTGAGATACACCTTTAAGATGAACTCCCTGGCCGGCACATCTTGTTGTTTCGGGCCTACACGATAGAACTTATTTATTTACCAATATCACAATTAACAATCTCATCACTTTATTCAGCCTGTACCTCGAGGTAAATTAACAATTTTACTAAAGAGCAATGTGTTTTGTTTTAATTTTTGTGAGAGCACTGCAATAGTGCAATGATGCAGGAACTTCAAATATATTTTTGTCTTTTGTTAAACATCTTGCGTGGGGAGTTATTTCCATTTTTTTTTAAATATAAGATAAGATCTAATCTGACTAATTAACAATCAGAATAAATATTTAGGATTTTATGTTAAATGGTTATTGATAATCCGTTTGCAGATTCTATTTGTATTTGTAAAAAGAGGATGCTTGATATCATAACTTACCATCATATTCCGGAAAGTAGTCGACAAGATGAGAGTACATAATCTTTTCTTCTAGCAGATCTTTCTTGTTGAGAAACAGGATAACAGAGGAGTGTTGAAACCAGGGATATGTTATAATCGTTTTGAACAGTGCTTTACTTTCTTCCATTCGATTCTAAAAAGAAATCAAACACAGGTAAGTTACAACAGCATTGAAATTCATCGACAATTCCATCCATGAAAGTATTGTAATTACCTCGTTCTCCGATTCAAATAGAATTTGATCATATTCACTTAGAGCTACTAAAAATATAATTGAAGTAACGTTTTCGAAACAATGAATCCACTTTCTTCTTTCCGACCTCTGTCCACCGACGTCTACCATCCTGCAAATAATATTCTGTTAAACTGAGTACTGTTAATAACATATAAATTAAATATAGTCGAATCTTCGTATTTTTAATTTGTAATGATCTATTGAACATCTCTTCTCTAATGCAGTTTAAGTTTCAGATATCTAAAAATTTAGATTTATTGCTAAAGAATTAATGTAGAAATCTATGGAAAAAATTGTATTTTAAAAGACTATTTTAAAATATTTTTAAAAGAAATATTTTAAAATAGTCTTTTAAAGAGAAAGATTCTAGAGAACTATTATAGAGATAATAAAGAACTATGAAGATTCAGCTATAAAACTTCCCGACTACTAAAAAGTGTAGTCTATCGAATATAATTTCTACACGTTTTTCAATGTTTAACGTCTAAGTCAAGAAACGCATAAGACGAATCGGGTCATAAGATGAGTAAGATGGCCCTTAAATCTCAATAAATTCAACGAATCACATGCAATGCGTCGCTATTGTGACCTACGCGTCTACTATGCTGTGTTCTTCATTCTTTATACATTTTCAGAATCTTTTGTAGTTTGCAGTAAAAAAAATACAAGTAAAATAATAGAAACTCTTTTTATATCTCTTTCATTAATCATGTGCGCTTGTAAATTACATTTTATTTAAAAAAATAGACTATTATGTATTGTATCATAAAAATTAAAAAAAAAAAAAAAATACATAAGCTCTCAATTTTATTAATAATCTATTATAAAACAAGCCAGTACATGTTGTTCTCTTTGACCCAATTTTGATTTACTCTACAAAATCTGCAAAACATCTAATTGTACATTCATAAAAAAGGGTACGTATTTATTATTCCCAATCGTAACTACGTAATTACAAATGATATTATTATAAAAATTCACCGCATGCACAGTAGCATTATTGTAACGATACACTGAACGAACAAACAAATAGCGAACGAATAGCGAATGTAAATTTAAGTTGTTGAAGTTTGATAATAAATTATTTATGCCATAATAAATGCAAACGCGGTACGTTCGTTAATGTTTAATTTAATTCATTCATAAGACACATTAAAGAAATAAATATTAATTTCAAATAAATTTATCTTTGCATTTGCTGTCCGTCCGCTTATGCCACCCATTTTAGCTAAATAATCTAATGTTAAAAAAATATAAAACACATAAAAAGACATGCAAACGTCGAAGCTTCTTAATTATATATATATAAAATTATATATATAATTATATACAATGTAACTCCTGTTCATCCTTCTCCTTTCTCGGGAAAATGAAAGAGAAAAGGATATCTATTATAAAATTATTTAATTGGATGTTGAATTTTGTTCCAATTTTTGTAACAACTAATTTTAAATATGTTTGTGTAATTAGTAGTAGTTTTATTAACAGTTAAATTAAAATGTTATTGAAGCGGTCGACTTAAAAATAAATTCTATATTACATCTTATTTGCATTTCAGAAGTTTAATTCCTTAAAATGTATTTCTATATTCCCTAGATTTTCTATTGCTCTAGATTCTCAATTATTCATTAAGAAAACGATCTATTTTAAATTTGTAAAAAAAAAATCATTCAAAATCATTTCAATGAGAAAAAGAAAAAGATTTAATTGGTTCACATTGCTTCCTACGTATGGATATATCTTGCGATGCTAAAAAATTCAAGTGCATGTTCGAAGTTTTAGAATTGGATTGAAAGACTATTAGTACCTAAATATGATGGAGTCCAGATCAAATGGATATTCTATAATTCCGGTGGTGGGAGCTCGTGCCCGGAGGATGTCTTGCTCGGTCGGAAGGAAATCGGGCTTTTCGATACGCTCTAGGTCACTAAGATAACTGCAAAACGAAACAAAAAGCTGCTGTCTGGAAGTGCATGCCATGCGTGGTAACTTAAAAAAATATATATATGTAATAAAAAAACAAGGGAATATAAAACGTTTCGTATGAAACAATTCTCATACATGCTTGTCCAGTGGTTTAGCCTGAAAGAATTTTTTGACGCTGATGCCGAGTCCTGAGACTTACTTTGGTACGTTTTACAACATATTTTTGTTTTGGAAATACATAATTTGTATATACATCACACAGATTTCTTTAAAATAAAAAAGCAAAGTCAGTTGCGTTCGTGTATTTACATCTCAGATAAAGTAGAGATATCATATGTTTAACATATATCCACAAATTTCAATTTTTATCAACATTAGATATAAAAAAAGAGTTAATAGTTTGCTAGTGAATTTCAGACTTTCATAAAATAGAAAGCAATTGAAAATTTTCTTTTATCTACGGAATCAATTCAATGAGTATAGGCTTATCGCCAATTAGCTTTGTTTACATTTAATGGAGCGTAGTCACAGGACTTAAATAGCATCACGTAGAACGGGGGGGGGGGGGGGGATAGGTGAACACTTAATCGAACAGCGAATCCCAGGTGCAAATCACAGAAAACGAAAAAAAATGCAGAAATGGCCCGATGCAGGGTGGTTTTGCAGGCGCAGGCAGGCAGCTCGCTCCTTCTCTCATCATCTTCGTCGGCCGACCGCGAGAGACACACATACCTAAATCGGATCTCTTCCAAGTCAAAGGGATATTCAATTATACCGGTGGTGGGCACTCTCACACGAAGAATGTCCTGTTCTGTGGGGAGGTAGTTTGATGCCGCGACTCGATCTATCTCCATTAGGTAACTGAAACATCGTGTTCTCAATACCCGGTGTACAGGAAGGAGATAAAGAACAAGGAGGAGTGTGGAAGGAAGTAAAAGCCACGGTGAGAGAATTAAATCGTGTCCGGTGAGCGCGTGAATATCGTAAGCATTGCTTCGAAACGCAAACGCAAGATGGATCAGGTGGGCACGTGTTTGAACAAGATTCCGAAAAATCTCGGTAAAAGGTCTCTGAAATGAAAAACTTGTTGAAAGGCCTTAAGTCAACTGTCCTCCTCTTTCTGTCGAGAAAGAAACTGAATGGAAATATGTTCCTACGTTGTGTGTTATAAGACACGTTTCTGTTCAAAATTGAACTAAGCCCTTTCGGAAGTGAGCTGTTATGCTTGCGTGTTCGGGAAGCGGAAGAGATACAAAGTATCTCTTCCATGTGATCGTACACAATTCCGACAAGAAATCTTTATTGTTAATTTAGTTTTATCCTTTCGCTCGATCGGAATTGTACAGACGAACTGACGAAATAAAATAATTTGTTTGCAAAACGCAGAAGTGTTTTGATGCTTTTCTCAAGAGAAAATCCCTAATTTGTTGAAGACAAAATCAACGAGAAAATGACAAAGGTGCGGTGAACCTGGGTCGTTCTGTTGTACGACTTCTTCGGCGAGGAAGGTCCGGGATGTTACAGACGGAGGAACGGAAGGATAGTCTCTCGGTAACATGTGTGGACGGAGAGATAACGCGCGTTCGGTTCCGCGAAAAGGAGACGCGGTGCGATCAGTAGCTGGAATACTCACTACTTGGCGGAATCCGTGAGCTGGTATTCTCGTCTACGATCGTAGCACTCCTGTATACCCGCGTCCGCCCACAGGTCCTTGATCGCCTCCACGTACGGGCTCTCGAACGTCGTAACTGTTTCGAAGTCGACGCTCCGCACCAGTTCCGCTTTTTCCTGGAAAGGTAGAGGAAGAGAGACGTATGAGTCTATACGGAAACGGCGAAGCGGAACCGCGACACATGCGATATATGCGTTATACGATTTCCGGTCCGGCGTATCGGGACGTAAGTACGATATCAAGTGCGTGCAATACGAAGTTATCATTAACCTTCTGATATCCGACGTGTAGAAAAGTTAAGTGCGCAGCTCTGCATATATGCAAAGCGACTTTTCGACGCTCCGTGTACTCTCTCTTATGAGGTTCAAACTAAAAACGCGCGGCTTTGTACATCTGCTCTCATATATCATCACAAAAATAGTGCAAAGAGGGTGCAAATGGTTCAAAGAGTTTAAATTAGTAAAGATTTTTTTTTAAATATTTGTTAAGATTCCTTGAGCAGTCATTATTTATTTTAAAAATACTCAGAATGCTATAAAAAAATTGCACATTTAAGAGTTAAGGCTTTAATTAACCCTTTAACATGAGGCCTGACCTGCGTGCGATCGTAATGACGGATTTAAAACATTTGATATTATATTCAAGGTATCTACACCTGGAATTCATGAAAACGCAAAATTAAACATGCGATAGGAGCTCTAAACTAATTAAAGCGAAAATTATAAAAGGTATAATATTTTTGTGTCAAGATGCTGCCTACTTAAAGCCATTTATAAAGCCGTTTATACCGACTGTCACTCCAATTTCCAAAATACATCAAAGAATTAATAATTTAACGCATTTTGCAATTTATTGCTGCCATAAAATCTTCCTTTAGAGACTTTAGACCAACTGACCACGAGCAATTGGCCAGATAGTGAACGATACGTACTATATTCGAGGAATCGCCGTACTGGATCTTCAGGAGATCCATCGCCCGGATCATGGACTGCATCGCCATGAAAATGTTTTGGTACACAAGTTTGATAAACCCTCTCTTGTCCTCGTCCGAGTAGCCGGAACCGTGGATAATCCTCATCTGCTTAATGAAGGTGGACTTGCCCGACTCGCCGGTACCTGCGACAAAGTTTCGGGTCTCGATTAGCTGCGCTGTCAAAGTAAATAGATAAGCAACGGTGTCTCTCCCTTAGGGAGTGAGAGACCGTGCGGAGATTTCCGATCAGATATATCCAAACTTTTTAAACGAGATAACGGGGCGCAGATTTTTAGCGATAAAATTAGCAGATAATTAACGAATTATTAAGACATAAATTATTTAACTTTTCAGTAACGAGAACGAGCGTTCTAAAATTATTAATGAAAAAGATAGAAAGGCGATATTGAAATCTAGAGAGACAACATACTGCTCCGATTGATTATTTCCACATCAATCGGCAGAACACAACGAAACGTCGCAAATTAACAGGAAGATCAAACGCGTCGCGCGTAAAATTTAGTTCCACTAAATATATATCTACATAATATATACAAATGTTAATTGCTTTAGAAAAAAAAAATTTTTTTGTGATGCTAGTTTCTAGCATTTGACACGTTCGCGACTTATTCGCGCCTTGCGGCTCGCGCGAAGATTGTCCGCTTCTGGGAAACAGTGGGACGCGACTATGTCGGTCAGATGCAAGTGGAGGGAGGGGGGGTTGCTGCCAGCGGCGGCCGCGACGGCGGCGGCAGCAGCAGCAACAGCAACGGTGGTGGTTCTGGCGCTGATGCTGTTGCTGGCGGCGGTGGGGCGACGGTGGGGCGGCGGCGGCGGTGGTGGCGAGCGTGTAGGTGGCGCGTGTCGCGTCGCCACTGTCGTTTCCTCACGAAATCATGAATGAACGCGGCCGCACGCGGCCGGCGCGACGCGCGGCGGTTTTCTTAACCTTACGAATATCTCTCCCAACGGCGGGATAACGATGCCGCTTTGCATCGGGAACGTTACTCGAGTTACTCGGCCTTTTCTTGAAATTAAAACTTTGTGAAAGAACATGATTTCGGACTTCCGTGTTTAATCCTAGCTAGCCACACTTATTTTCGAGTCCTTTTCGCCATACTCCCGCGATCCGTGAGACCGGAGCGACCTGTCGCATTGCCATTTTCATTCTACTTAATATTTTTAAGCTTGTGCTGCAGAAATTGGAAATACAGACTCTGAATAAGATGTTTATGATAATATCAAGAAAATGATTTGAATTTAAACTGAGCTTATTATAAGGAAACTAGAAAATTATGTTATTATGATATTATGGGAAAATACTCCACTGGAGTGTGGCAAGCTAGGGTTAAGATTAAATCATGAGAGACACAGAATATCCACAGATAACTTTTAATAACGCTTAAAGATAACGACGATAGGACATTTATTAAGTAATATAAAATATCTCATAGAATATCCTAATTGATAGATAAATTAAGAATTGAATAAGTAAAAGACTTCCGGACTGAACGGAGGAACGTTTAACTCTTTCAGGATTATAAAATACATACAAAAGCTATTGATGAAAATAATGCTACGAATGCATTCAAAAGAAATTTTGACTTTACCTGCATAGAATGGTAAAAAATTACTACAATAAAGCATGTGCAAAACACTCAATTGTTCATTACAAATTGAGCGAGGTTTTTTTGGAGTTGAAAAAATTCGATAAGAGAACGAGGTAAAAGCCAATAATTCGTATCTAAAATAGACCTCGTAAATTATGAATTAAACTCCATCCGTTGCTCTTCGATGCTAAAATCTTTCATTTCAAATTTCTGATACTCCTCATTATCGATTCATTTAGTACAATATTTACAGGTTTCGATCGATAGCTTCCCTGGAAATTTTTTTCAGCTTCGTCGAAAGATCTATCATTAAAATTAAACGATCGAGAAGAGAGGCGCCGCGCGTTCCGGGTATATCAGTATACTTCGAGATTCGAGGAATCCCTCCCAATTCCGTCCAGATAAGGAAAGGAGAAGTGTTTGATGGTACCCAGTGCTGTGTAATAATGTTGGGCGCGTAACCTGAATCGATCTTCATGCACGCGAGGGACACGCTGGATGCAGAGGAAAGAGCTTTTTATGCCGCGTCGGTCGCCAAGAAAAGACGCTTCTCGCGCGCCCACAAGCACCGCCTTTCTCCGCCTTAATGAGGATGCAAAAAGGCCACCGGGCATGGCATACGCGGTGGCGCCTTTTATCGATAAAGACGGCCGTGTGTTATCAATCGAAAAAACGCACGGGATACCCCTCTCCCCTCCACTCGATTGGGAATTAACTCTTCGCGCCACGATAAAAGAAAAAAAAACAGCTTTGCATTAAAAAAAATCGAAAGTTGTTGATTGAAATTGTCGTGGGATTTCCTTCACTCGTCGATTACTCTTCTAACGACTATGATCACGAATTTATCGTGTAAAACTTCAAGATACTGTGTGGAAGCGAATTTTTAGAAGCGATCTTTGAATGTTAAGTGGAAATTATACGCCACGCAAGATAATTGTGAAATTACTATACTGAATAATCCTGTATTATCATAATAGTAATTTCACAATTACTTCACACGAAATTATGTTGTCTTTCAATAACAGGAAATATGAAAGGCAAAGTCCAATTTCTTGTGCGGAAACGTTATCGGTTTCTGGTTATTATTATGTTCGAGGCAATCTAGTATTTTTTTTTAAATTAGAAATTACATAAAGTCTGATTGGATCTGTCTTCCCGAGATCTACGAGGGAATATCAATCTCCCAGACGAAGAGTCTGTTTAGACGCGTTTGTCAACTTCGCTGAATCCCGGATTCGCTTAAATCCCAGCGAGTTATTGTGCGATGACGAAACTTCGCACGTGCAACAACAGCGCGATTATACCTACGATAGGGAGAACATAGTGCGTTTGTCGTGCTTGTTTGCTTAGGTGCTTAAGATTCTCTTTGAAGTCTATATCTTCGCGGAGTTACGGTTCTATCGCTGATCAATGCCGACGATGATTACACCCCGGTGACTGCATCGCGCGTTAATTTTCTCGCGCGAGTCACGCTCAGTTATTATATTAATCGCGGCACGGTTAATTAAAGTAGGTAATTCCCCATCGGATCGCTTTTCCAGAAAATTGACCGGAGAGTGGCGGACTTTCTTTGTTACTTAATTTTTCTACTTTGAATAATCGTCATCACCGAATCCACACTATAGCTCCTGCGAAATTGTAATTCCATTTATATATTTACTTTGACGTCACTGTATTTTATTGTATTTTCACATAAAAGATGCATTTGAGTGTATTCAGGCAAATCAAGAAAGTGATTTTGTTGATTGTTTTGTTCTCCCAATTTAAAGATAAAAATACTAAAATATAAATATCAAGTTGCTAGGATAATCTTTTCACCGACAAAATTAATCTTTCATCTTTACTAAATTAGTGATATTCATAAAAAATAAAATCTCTTTTATTGGTCGACGGATTTCAAGATCACTCTGTATAGACGCTATTTCAATTTCACGCGACGCGTGTTCGTGGCGCGAGTATTAACGGGTTAATATTAGCCTCGCAACAACATTCTCCGATTGTGTGGGGACATCGGCTGGCGTTGGCAACGACTTCGCGGGATCCCAATCGACTGTTGAACGCCAAGAGGAAAAGCGAGGTGAAGCGTAGGAACAGCGGGTTAATGAATGAATGAGAACCGACGGTGGGCGGGACGCACAACCCAGGCTGTCTTCCGGTATTCCTTCAACGGCGTAACTAAAGCTAGAACTCTCGTTCAACCCGGGAAAGAGAGGAGAGAGCGAGAGAGAAAAAACTTAACCCCCCATGGAATTATTTTCCCTCCGGGAAAAAGTACGCTGACTCCGCTTATCGAAACTCCCGATCGGCTGGCAGTACAGACGCATTTACGAATTCATTTCTCCGGCCTTCTTGCCTTCGAAAATCGTTTGACGCGATTAAGACTGGGTACTCAAGCCAGCACTGATCTCAGTTAACGTTTTAAAATAATAATGTTTTATTTTAAGATTCGCACAAAGAGACATGAAAAATCTTGCAAACTTTGATATCGTGAAATCTAAATTTTTAATTTTTCCAAGGCTCCTCCGATGTGAAAGATCTTTGAGAATTGATGTAAAAAGAAACGAGTAGACATAGAAAAAAATTAAAACCTGACGATTGGAATTGCAAATTACGTGTTAAGAAAAAAATGTACAGATGCGAGAATCAGGAAGACATGGTATTTAAGTTCGATGATTAATTTAAAAAAAAAAAGTCCCCTTTCATATATGCTGCCTCGCGTTCCTGAAAACAGGTTGCTAGGAATGGATTGCGGTATATACCGAAGTATCCGTTCTCCCTGCACGACAAGTCCGACCGGTGTGTATTCGAGAGACATCCTGAACGATCATCAAGGACAACGACGGATCAGAAATACGCGGAGATGAGAAAACAACTCGGCTAAAATTGATTTCACAACGCGCATGCATAACTTTTTTCTTGTTTTTTTTTTTTAATATATATAATTGTATTAAAATGTAATATAACTGTGCACGGGGTTGTACCGCGCACGTATAAAATAAGACAAATTCTTGTACCGTGCGTGGATATGCTGGAGCTAAATCTGGGAAATATATCTATGTAAATCTATGTAAATCAGCCTCGTATTCCGGATATATTTAGATGCCCGAATAATCAAATGTTTCTGCGATTCGACTTTAAAAGATTTAACTACACGCAGAAAATTTTTCTCGAATAATGTAGAATACTCATAATAAAATTTACTAGATTTGCTAGGTTCCGGTAAGATATACGCGTATTCAACCGGAAATTAATATATGACAATAGAAATGTAATAGTTTGATCAGATACATCTTGTAACCTAAAGATAAATAAATTTGCCATACTAACAAAGAAATATGAGAACAGTAAAAAAAGTCCCATACTAGTATGTGTATATTCGACGTTGTAGCTTGAATTGCCAACTTCACATGTCTTGGATTGAGCGTTGTTTTTTAAGACAGTATAGGAAAAATATAATCTAGAATGGTACCTATTGTGAACTGTATAGAAATATTTGTTGCGTATCTGGCAATAGTTTATGTTCTTTATAGAAA